TCTTTAAAAATATAGATCCGAATGTACAAATGAACAATCTTTAAAAAATATAGATAAATCAGAATATTCCTACGTAGCCTGGCGTCACTTTGTGTCATGTTCGGAAATCAACAAGCAGAAAATGGTCTGTCAGCAGATATCCTGGAACGCTGACTTCACTGTGCTTTAATATAATATTATTAAAACGTTTTTAGTTCCTCTCGCTTGGCAGCACAACTACGTCATGCCTCCAACGATTTCATAAAAATTATGATAAACTGCAAGATAACATGGAGGACGATGGATTTCAAACAAAAACGTTTGTTTTTTTGTTGAATCCCTGTTTATTTTGCATGTATTTGATATAAAAACTTCATTTTCTAACCCGTCCTGTCCCACGGAGCTGAGCGTACGACGGGCTAAAGGCTTTTGATTTTCTCAATCGGACAAAAAAGCCGATCGGTCATTTTGAACCCTGTCTTTAGCCTGTTTGGATCAGATAAAGGTATGAATGTTAGCAGGGTTTGGGCTCCTTATATGTGTCCAGTGGAAATAAAGGGAGAGCTGTTTGCATCGTTCCTCCACTGGATGGCGCCCTTCATCCATCTTCCCAAGCAGTCCGATTCCAGACCCCTTTGATGTGTCATATTCTAAAACCCTGAAAGGAAGATTTAAGGACGAAGGAGCTTTTTAATCAAATAATTATTTTCTCAGTGAAGATGTCAGAGGCTAAAACACTCAGTCCAAACCGCCAGGGGCTGATTCAGTCCCAGTTTCAGAGCAGACAAAGCCGCTCTAACTTCTGTCCCCCGACGTGATCCTGAACTGTGACACCTTTTCTGATAATTGCAAAGCTCGCTATTGAAATGTGTACAAGATGCAGCCTCTTACCGTCCCCCGTCTCCTGCCGCCTCTTCAGCACAGAAACACCTATTCAGCCTCTATTCATCAGCCCAGAAGGTCGGCTCCGAACACTAACACTGGAGTTTTGCGGCTTCAGACCTTCAGCTGAAAAAGCGTCTCTCACTGATGAGCCGCATTTTCTGAGCTCAGCCAGCAGATTCCTTACAGTTTCGGATCTGAAAAAAGCAAAAGGAATTTACAGTAATGACACCCAATTACTCCCTTTTTCTACCTCCAGTAGTGGCGTGTTTACCCAGGGTGCTCTGGGAGCTGCAGTGGTATTCGGGACCAGTCCAGAAACCTCCACTTTTTCCAGCCTGAACTGAGTAACGAGGGGGGGGGTTACAATAGGCACAGACACACGGTCTTTAGACGGTCAGCTTTAAGGAATTCTGCTTCTCCTTTTTTAAACTTGACTTTGCACACATCAAAACTGATTACAGAGACTCTCACATGAACAAAATGAACAAAAGCGTGCAATAAGTCAAAAATATATTTTGGTGTAGTCTTCTACTGGCTGTTATCAGGTAT